TCAATAGTGTGAGGCGACTATGAGTCTAGCTACTCCTATAGGGATACTCTTCCGACTGTTTTGAGGAAATGGGAAGCTACACGCCTCATCGGTTAGGGTTAAAATAATTATTGCCAGCTGAAACATATTAACCCCTTCTCACTCCGGTAACATTTGCCTAAAATGTCTATCCAAGGTGTACCCAAAGTAAATTGAAAGCTGTTCTTGTTTTTAACTTCCCTGACGGCCTGTGGACAGGCCATCGGGGTGACAAGGGGTTAAGAGCCATTCCATGAGAAATTGACACTCGGTGCGCAGTTGACCCCCCTGGAATTGAATGAAACTTGGCACATAGACGAGTGTCTCACAGAAAAAGCCGAATTTTTAGGTCCGTGTCTCACTTTGCCTGCCAATAGCGCCACCTGAAAGCCACTTAAGTGGCTCAGTTTTGCTGTTGACACCACATTTTACATCAACTATCATGACTTAAGGGTACACAGCACCAAATATGTTTTACTTTTATCATGACCTGTGACACTTCAAGTCCGGTTAGACTTCAGCACCACATCAGCGCCAAGCTAAATAACTACATTATCAAGCTAGAATTATTTGAGAAATAACAATAAAAATTGAAAATGGGAATAAAATAATATCCCAGGCATACACCAAACTAGAATGCTTTATTATGTGTTAACTCACAACAAGACTATTATTTTCAGTGAAAAGTACCTTGGTATCTTGCTGTGTTTGTGCAATGGACGGCCAGAAAGATAGTCGAAATTCATTTTTTGTGCATATTTGTGGTATATTTTCTCTGTAACCCAGATTTATTCTGTGAGGGTAAATGCTGTTTGTTGTGCATTTGGAGCTCCATTTTCGGGAATACCAAGAATTTCTTTGGTAGTGTCTGCACTTTCAAGCTAGACGGAGCCAAAGTTGGAGGAAAACTCGAAATTGACCATTTCATAGCAGATTATGCCTGTGTTTTGGTGGCATTAACCCAGCAAGATAGAGATCCGAAATTCTCTGGATGCATAGTCTCTTTGGGGTATATTACAGCATTAGTAAAATCTCAATGGTAGTATTTTCAATGTAGACGATATTCAGCATCAAACATCGGAAAATTTTGCCCCCAGGAGCACTGTAGGCTGGATGCAAATACTGGCCATCCCCAGCAATGTACCAAATAAATTTTTTTTTTAATTGTAAATTTTTTTTTTAATTGTGATGCACACAGCTAGTTTTCTCTGAAAATGAAGGGTTCAGCTTGGTACTATTCTGGATGAACAGCTATCTGACCAAAGGTGGTGCTCTAAAGAGCTAATGTTCTATCCACCTAATATTCCATATTCCATTCCATAGTACAAAAGTTAAAACTGTTTTATACTTTTCATGTTATCCATATGTCTTTTGACATATAAAAAGTACATGCACAGTTATACATAAAATTTTTAATCTCTTTGGTATAAAGTTGGGTTAGTTGTAAATTGGAAAAGAATATTGATGGTGATTGTAGCCTTGTGTCAACATACAAGACATTTACCAGTAGTCAGTACAGTGTACAGTTTTGTGATGTTGGTGCGTTTTCAGAAAATAGCAAATTATCTGCATTTTCACTTTACTATTAGAACTGGAGAGCAGGTTTCAGCGTTAATTCTATGATTTCCCTGGGGTATGGTGCTTGGGTATGAAAAAGGGCACAGCAGACACGTCTAGCAAGTGGTTGTCCTGATAAAGGGCACAGAGGTCCTAGCAAGCAAGCAGCACCCTGCCAAGAAAAGGGCAGTTCATTTGTAGTACACCAGCCCATGATGTCTAGCCTATGGGATACCCCCTGGTTGGGAGGGCGGGGTTTCTTTTACAGACTTCCCATTTCCGTGCGTACCAAGCCATGGGTGTTGGCGCAGCTATTGCTCCAAACAGGCTGCAGCCCACTATTTAATTCAGAGACAGACAAGCTCACTATCAACAGCCTGTAAGCAGCCCTGTAGAGACCCAGGATGCAGTGTGGTAGGGCTTGCCTCGGGCTCGACTGGCTCCGCTGGTAACATCGACCCGGATCGAACAAAGAAGGCCATGGATGGCTGCTCAAGGCCAAGGCTAAAGAGCACCTCTGGTGTGCACCACCAGGTGCCGCCAACCCACAATTGAATTCCAAAAACAGACTGACGGAGAGAGCTAGTCACATGCTGTGTTAACATCATTTCACTTTGGATAATATGAAAAGTATAAAACAGTTTTAACTTTTGTACTATGGAATGGAATATGGAATATTAGGTGGGTAGAACATTAGCTCTTTAGAGCACCACCTTTAGTCAGATAGCTGTCCATCCAGAATAGTACCAAGCTAAACCCTTCATTTTCAGAGAAAACTAGCTGTGTGCATTGTAATTCAAAAACAATTTCTTTGGTACATTGCTGGGGATGGCCAGTACTTGCATCCAGCCTACAGTGCCCCCTGGAGGATGAATTTTGCTGACTTTTGATGTTTAATATTATCTACACTGAAAATACTACCATTGAGATTTTACTAATGCTGTAATGTACCCCAAAGGGACTATGTATCCAGAGAATTTTAGATCTCTATCTTGCTGGGTAAACACAATAGTGTCATCTAAACATAGGCACAATCTGCTATGAAATGGTCAATTTCGAATTTTCCTCCAACTTTAGCTCTGTCTAGCTTTAAAGTGTAGATACTACCAAAGAAATGCTTGGTATTCCCAAAAATAGAGCTCCAAAAGCACAACAAACAGCATTTACCCTCACAGAACAAATCTGGGTTACAGAGAAAATATACCGCAAACATGATCCAAAAATGAATTTCGACCATTTCGATTTAAATTTTTACTGTGACTTCTCAAATAATTCGGGCTCAATAACACAGTTATCCAGCTTGGCGCTGATGTGGTGCTGATGTCTATCCAGACTTGAAGTGTCACAGCTCATGATAAAAGTATAACACATCTGGTACTGTGTACCCTTAAGTCATAATAATATATGTAAAACGTGGTGTCAAAAGCAAAACTGAGCCACTTTAGTGGCTTCCAGGTGGCACCACAGACAAAGTGAAATATGGACCTAAAAATTTGGCTTTTTCCGTGAGACTGCCATATCTACCTATGTGCCAAGTTTCATTCAATTCCAGGGGGGTCAACTCCTCAACTTCTTCAAAAAGTGCCATTTTCTCACGGAATGGCTCTTAATTTCTGTTTTAGCAATCCAATCATAGGTATTTTTTAATTTAAATCCAAACGGCAACTTTTTTTGGACAGGCAGTGTATGTCTTAAAACTCTAGAACACTGACATCAGTACTGCAATCTTGCTCAATTTATCAGGTGGAGTTTCATTATTTTTAATGTTGAAGTTAATCGGCCATCATTACTTATCTCCCCTTATTGCAAATGACTGGTAATCATCACTGTCTCCAGCACAGTTTAAAACGGGAAAGCACTAACTCAGAGAGGTCATACTTCCGCCAACGCATTTGTCACTAAGAAGAAAATAAATATAATCTATGACCTTGGCAGTCATATTTGAGTTTGAATCCATCCCAAAATGTAATCAGTTGTTCTTTGGCCCATGACTCACCTTCCACAAAATATAATTGAAACTGACTGTGAAATTTGAGAGATTGGCTGGACAAACAAACCGGCGAACATACAGACTTGGTTGAACATACAGCATAACCTCTGCTCAACTGTTGGCAAAAGGAACGATAATGCAGTGGTTTGCATAGCATTTGCCGCAACTTATTGAATTCTTGAGTTTGGACAAAACCAAGTATTGAAATACTTGACTAATTGATTTGAATTTATTACTTCTGGATTTGAATCCGGATTGAAGCTCTAATTTAATGATTGTCTTCAAGGACTATAGAACATACTGCTACAGTTGGCCTAAACTAGCCACCTTTTATCTCTCATAAGATGTGAATTTCTGGGAACCAAATGCTATCTTGCATAGTAATTTAGAAGTTTTTTTTTTTTTAAAGTTACTTTGCTAGCAATACTTATCACTCATAAGTGTTGCCTTTATAATGTTGTGTTTCTCCATCATTATCATATCCTTGCACGGTCTTAAGTGCCATTCCCCTTCGTTGTGCAGGGAAGTCCAGTGTAACTGCAAAGGAAGCCGTCAACCGGTGGACAGGTGAGACCATCTTGCATAGTTTCCATTCACGGTAATGGCAAGAGACGATATAAGAAACAGCTGTAGCCTCGTTTCTTCCTCCCATTTTACAGTCCAAATCTCACCTAACCACACAAGTCTGCACTGCATATCATTAGACAAAATGATCATATTGCAATATTGATATTTGACGGGAAGAATCTTGAATGAGTTTCAGCATTTCACTTAAAATACTGAATGTGATCCTTAGTGGATCAGTCTGCTGTCAGAAATATATCACAGAGCCAAGGAAATCTGACTCCTTGTACAACATCATTTTTCATGATTTTGCAGGAGAGAATGAAAAAAAAAAATCTATGAAGTTACATATAATTTCATTTTAAGAGCGGTGGGATGATGTGGTCTGGTTGCATTGACACATTAGGAATGTCATCGCAAGTTCGTGCAGTAATTTTTATTGTCTTTCGACTATAATGGGCTGGATGTGCACAGCCTTGGAACAATGGCATCACCAAATTCAGCTCTGCAAGGCTTTGTGATGACTTTTGAAAAGATTATACTGAGTCATAGCGGAGTTATTCCCTTTTGTTCTGAATAAATTATTTTTTTTAGCTGTTAACTCCTCCTGCACTCAGCCCGTTTAAAGGACTTTGAGCAGACATACAATGACAGCTGTGCTGTGGGACATACAGTATAAGCTAAATTTAAGAAAGCTGAAGTGACCTTTTCTCCTCCCCCCGTGTGGAATTGACCCCTGTCCCATGGCAGTCTGTTGCCAATTGTATGATCTGCCTGACTGTCATAAGATATGGCAATTTACAGTGAGCTGTTTGTAAATGCCCATTGGGACATACATTCAACAGTGAAAACCTAAGATCACAAGATTGGCGGCACGGTGGCACAGCGGTTAGCACTCCGGCCTCACAGCAAGAAGGTCGTGGGTTTGAATCCAACCTGGGGCGTTTGCATGTTCTTCCCTGTGTTCGCGTGGGTTTCCTCCGGTTACTCTGGTTTCCCCCACCCACAAAAACATGCATCATAGGAACACTCCAACCAGTACTCCTGACCAAGGAACTGGCTTTAGAACTGGAGTTGGTCCCCGGGCGCTGCTCTGTGGCTGCCCACTGCTCCTAACTATAGGATGGGTCAAATGCAGAGGACAAATTACCCCACGGGGTTCAATAAAGTATATCTATCTATCTACCTTAATCCATAAAAGGCTTTTAAGTAATTTCATACTACTGCCTTTCACAGCATGATATTTGTTTGTGAAGAAGGGATTTTGTGTGTCTGATTCTTTTGGCAACATGTCCACACAAATCCTGTCTCTCTTTACAAAGAGCCCAAAAACCTCAATTTTGACGAAATCTAGCAAGCTAGGAAATGAGTGTGTACACAGTGTTTTAGCAAATTGTATGTCATCTGAATTAGTTGCTATATCTGCTTTCAAATTATACTCTATTGCAGTTACTTCACTGAAACAAATGCTATGGTTATTTATAAAACCGTTATTCAAATACTCTGCCTTTGGATTTGAATTCATGACCATTTTTTTTTTTTTCCTCCTCTCAAGAAAGGCAAAACATGCTTGCTGCTGCACTGTACCAGAACAAAAATTAGTTAAAAAGGAAGTCTGCCAAAATAGTCCAGGTCAGCTTATTATGGTCTGAAGCACTGTAGAGTGTACATGAGTTTTAGGTTGTGAGAAATTGCTGTGGAAATGATTTTTATCAGAACACTGAACTTTGCTGTTAGGACTCCACATACAGTACACATTTACAAAGCTTGTGGTATGAATTGGATTTTATACATTTTTTTTTCAGAGTATAACTAGTCTATATTATCCAGCATGCGCATTCTGCACAGATGGCAACCCTCAAAAATATGGTTTTGCACTCATCTCTCACTACCTCTTTTACCACTGTCCTCCACAGCTTCATGAAGAATTATCTAACAAAGCCAAAGTCAAATCCCAAGTCTGTTTCCATAAGAATCATCTCTTTTGACAAAATCCTGCCTCCAGTAGCTATAAAATCTGGTATTTATTTTATGTGTGATTTATGTGAGTGAAAGCTGTGGTCCCAAAAGGCATTATTTATTTTATTTATTTATTTTTACATTTTCACGTATTTCCAGCTTCTGTTTATGCAAAACCTGGGGAGAGAGGGGTAATAATTTTGACATCCTTTCTCCGCATCCATTAAGCATTCTCACTGTAGCTCTCATGACTACGTCTTTTTGCACGTTTGGATTGGAGCATTTTAGCCATCTTGTCGCATGATCAAAAATTTTGGAAGTCTTTCAAGGCTTGATGGATTTCATCTGTAAAGCATTTAGCTTAATATTTTCCAATAAATATATCCATAAAGCACGGGACATTTTGAGAAGGAAATGAGTGAATGTCGTATATTTTTCAGACAATGTGTTTGCCATCAAATCCTGGGCCAAGAGGAAGTTTGGGTTCGAGGATAGCCGCATTGACAAAGCCTTTGGAATACCGGAAGATTTTGATTACATGGACTGACAGTTTCTCCTGCTATTCTGGGACACACTACAACTTCAGTACATCCGGAGGACTTCATATTTTATTTATTTGAAAATGTAAATAATTTGTACATAATGCCCAAGTGTGTTTTCCGACAATACGACAGTTTTTTCCCCGTCCAACCTAATTCCAATCATTTACACTTGGATTTTATTTTCGTTAATTGTGTTAAAAATTCTCTTAAATTTAGGTTTGGGTGTGTCTACCTTTCTATGACAACCGTATGATCATCCCGGAGATGCACTGATGTGAGCCTGACTGGGTAATAAAGGAGTGGTTGGTTGCTACTTGAATGTTGCAGGAGCTGCTGCAGCTGAGATCTTTAACAGGATTGAGGACTTGTGTTACACTATGGGCAGACACTGCAAACGCCGAGCTTTGCAAAGTCCAAATTTGGTTAAATCAAAGCCTGAAGAAAAGAGTGGTATTGCCAGTCACCTCAGAATTGACACCTAGTGTGAAGGGATGCTGTGCAATACAAAAAAAGAGCATGATATTTTGTGTTGGGCACCCTTGCGGTATTTGTTCTAAAGAAATTATTTGCTTGTCTGTCTTCCATGTATTGGAAATGTTCAAATATGGGAAATGGATCTCAGAATTTTTTTTTTTTTGTTGTTTGAGATGTTGCCTTTTCTGTTATGCGCATGTATAATGTATAAAAGTTCTCGTTTTATGTGTATAAATTTAATTGCATGTGATTTTTGTCAGATACTTTCGGACTATGCTGTGTATGCAGTGGAGCAATCCACTTAGCCCTACTTCAGTTTTTGGTAATTTTTTTTGCAATGTTTGGATTTCTAAAATATGAGTAATCCTCCAGTACACTTGAGAAAACAGTAGTGAGTAATTTTAGAATTTGAAAAGAATAAATGATTCAACACTTCACTGAGCTGTCTCAGAATCATTGATGGTCACAGAGTTAGGGCCGAGTTTTATCTTATCTAAAGGATGGTACCTTCTACAGCCCCATGGCACCTTTCCTTGCTAGTACTGTGGATTTACTTAGTTCAAAGGATAGAGAAGCACCCCATTTACCTTCATTTTCAGCAGAAACCAAGGTTGTCCATGTACCAAGTTCAGACGTCGATAACCCTTGGTTTTTTGACAAACGAGTGCTGCTGGATCATTTTATTATGCTTTAATATATAATCACAGAAATGATTATTTGCCAGATACGGACACTGTGCTGGTATTTGATGCACCTCTGGGGCAGCTATTGTTTTGTTTGTGTTCAGCAGATGCGAGGAATATAATGTTTTAAAACTGCAGGTGTTCATCGTATCCGCTTCCTGAGCATTTTATTAGGAACACCAAACTAACAGAGTTTGTTCTCCCTTTGTTCTCAGACCTGCATTAGTTCTGTGCGTCATGGATTCCATAAAATGTTGGAAACTATTGTCAGAGATTCTGGTCTATGTTGACATGATGGCGTCACACAATTCCCACCGATGTGCAATTTGCTTGTTGATGCAGCAAATCCCCTAGTAGCTGTCAGAAGATTGCATGTTTCTGCAGTAAATCGGTGCAAAGGGTAAGCAACAGAACTCTGATAGGCTGTGGTATTGAAACGATTGATTGGTATTAACTATGGCATGCAGAATGTACCAAAAGAAACATTCCCCCCTCCATTACACAACCACATGCTGACTGAACTGTTGTCTCATGGGAGGCTGTTGCACTGTTTAGAACGGACCCAAAGTAAACATTCCAATTTTTAGTCCACTACTTCTACAGTGCCGTGAAAAAGTATTTGCCCCCTTCCTGATTTCTTACTTTTTTCCATATTTTTTACACTTAAATGTTTCCGATCATCAAACAAATTTTAATATAAGACAAAGATAACCCAAGTAAATACAAAATGCAGTTTTTAAATGATGATTTTATTTATTAAGGGGAAAAAGCTATCCAAACCTTCCTGGCCCTCTGTGAAAAAAGTCATTGCCCCCCCCCTTCTTAAATCATGAATTAGCTGTGATTAACCACATTTTTTGAGTCCAATTTCACTAGCCACACCCAGGCCTGATTACTTCCAGACCTGTTGAATCAAGAAATCACTTCAATAGAACCTGTTTCACAAAGTTAAGTAGGCTAAAAGATCTCAAAAAGCAACACATCATGCCGCGATCTTAAGAAATTCAAGAACAGATGAGAAACAAAGTAATTGACATCTGCCAGTCTGGAAAGGGTTACAAAGCGATTTCTAAGGCTTTGGGACTCCAGGGAACCATGGTGAGAGCCATTATCCACAAATGGAGAAAACTTGGAACAGTGATGAACCTTCCCAGGAGTGGCCAGTCTACCAAAATTACTCCAAGAGCGCATCGACAACTCATCCAGGAGGTCAAAAAAGAACCCAGAACAACATCTAAAGAACTGCAGGCCTCACTTGCCTCAAGTCAGTGTTCATAATTCAACAATAAGAAAGAGACTGGGCAAAAATGTCATCCATGGGAGAGTTCCAAGGCGAAAACCACTGCTGACCAAAAAGAACACAAAGGCTCATCTCACATTTTCCAAAAAACATCTTGATGATCCCAAAGACTTTTGGAAAAATATTCTGTGGACTGACGAGACAAAAGTTGAACTTTATGGAAAGTGCACGTCCCGTTACATCTGCCGTAAAACTAACACAGCATTTCATAAAAAGCATCATACCAAAAGTCAAACACGGTAGTGGTAGTGTGATGGTTTGGGGCTGCTTTGCTGCTTCAGGACCTGGACGAATTTGTAGTAATTGATGGAACTATGAATTCTGCTCTCTACCGGAAAATCCTGAAGGAGAATGTCCAACCATCAGTTCATGACCTTAAGCTCAAGCGCACTTGGGTTATGCAGCAGGACAATGATCTGAAACACACTAGCAAGTCCACCTCTGAATGGCTTAAAAAAAACAAAATGAAGATTTTGGAGTGGCCTAGACTTAAATCCGCTTGAGATGCAGTGGCATGACCTTTCACAGGCCGTTCATGCTCAAAAACCCTCCAATGTGGCCGAATTAAAACAATTCTGCAAAGAAGAGTAGGCTAAAATTCTTCCACAGCGATGTGAAAGACATTTGCCAGTTATCGCAAATGCTTGATTGCAGTTGTTGTCGCCGAGGGTGGCAAAACCAGCTATTAGGATTTAGGGGGCAATTACTTTTTCATATAGGGCCAGGTGGGTTTGGATAGCTATTTCCCCTAAATAAATGATTCATCATTTAAAAACTGCATTTTGTATTTACTCGGGTTATCTTTGTCTAATATTAAAATTTGTTTGATGATCTGAAACATTGAAGTATGACAAATAGGCAAAAAAAAAAGAAATCAGGAAGGGGGCAAATACTTTTTCACTGCACTGTATGTGATTGTGTCACAAGGCAACCTCAATGGAATAACCAGTGTCCCAGTAGTCACTACAGCATTTTTTCTACTCTAG